TTTTTTTTTTTTTTTTAAGCAGTCATTGAAAGTGCTTCTGACTGGTGCTGGTTATTGAATTTTCTTGTAATGAAAAGTTTCTGTCACGGTTCTGACCTAGAAGTCACTGATTGAATGGGCAGTTTTTTCCCAGGTGGGAGAGAACAACCTTTGCCTGCCCATTTCATCACTGGCTTTAGTCTGCTGCTTCTTTGCCTGGGTCTGAAGCTTCAAACGTATTTCAGATTTGCCCATCTCTGAAATCTTTTGGGATGTCAGAGGGAATGTTGTTCTCAAAGTGAGGCCTTAGGCCTGGAGCACCAGTGCACCTGTTAGAAATGCAAATTCTCAGGTCCCACCCAAGACCTTACTGGGTCAGACACTGTGTTTCAACACACCCTCTGGGAGACTGTGATGCACGCTCAAGCCCAAGAACTACTGAGCTGGCATATAGGTAATCTCCATGCTTTTCTCCATAAGATGTGTGTTTTTCTCCATAGAAAAGCACGAACCAGACATTTGTGGACACACTTAATTTTGCTTCCTTTCTCCCTCCTCCCTCTCCTCTCTGAGGATGAGGCAGGTCAGGGCTAGAGGGAAAATGAAGGTAGCTTTAAATTTCTGTTGCTCTGTCATCAAGGTTCCTATTCCAATCTTTTAAGAGACAGTAATCAGGTAAAGACACATTGCATATACATATGTATAAAGATATTCACAATCTATAAAGACATATTATACTATAAATGTATAAATATATGGGATGAGCACTGGGTGTGGTATGGAAACCAATTTGACAATAAATTTAATATTTAAGAATAAAATAAAATATAAAAAATATATATATACAATGTACAAGTATATATATCTCCATTATAAATGTGTGAATATGTAAAATGTATAAAGATGCATTGTGTGTATATGTATATGTATATATATATGCATATATATGCATAAAAATATACACAATGTATAAAGGTACATTTTGTATATATAAATCTCTGTTGTAAATACAGGGGAGACTAAATACAGGAAATTCCAGAAATCAGAGTACCATTGCGAATCAAAAGGTCACAAGAAGAGACTTGGGTGATTGGAGGTCAGCAGGGGAGAAAAATAAATCTTGGATGGAGTGGGAAGAAGGTCTGGTAAGGGCCATTGCACAGCTCAAAAGGGGCTGCCACAATTTGCTTAGTACTTCCCGCAAACCATGCTCCCAGAGCTTTGTAGTGCATGTTCTGGGTCAAGGCACGGGGAGAATGTAGCCCTGGATGAGCAACCATGGTTCCTTGTAAAAGTCAGACTGACTTCTTTAGGTAACAGAAAACAGGTGTGCTATTTTCTCCAAGGGTCTTTAAAAGTATAGATTCTTATCTCTCTTGGGAGTCCTGAGGGCAGAGAGACAATTCAGTGTTATCTTATCTCTAGAACCCTTCCAACTGTTAACAGTTGAAGTTATAGTTTGCCTTTGTCTGTCTATCTATCTATCATCTATCACCTATCTCAAAGCCCTTCTCTCCAGACACTCAAAGAACTTAAGCTATATGGCTAATGTTTTAAACATCATGGGATGGGGCAGGGGGCTGAGGAGAAGGCTACCATGGATGGTCATCCCAGTAACAGAGGAATTAGGCATCTCTCCAGAGTGTTTCTAGTATCTAGGTATTTGAATTACCAGAGACACTCTGCTACATGCATTATGTCATTTAATCTTAACACCCACCTTATGATAGAGGAGGTGCTATGAATGTCCTTAGTATAAGTAGGTGGCTGATAAGGGATTTGAATTGAAGTTAAACCTGAGGTTTTACCTACTCCACCTTACTATTTAACGGTAGCTGAGGTCTTGATTCAGGTGGGCATGTAGTTGGATGCTTCATTCTCAGGGCTCAAATTGAGTTAGGCCATTACCTACGCTCGTTATATACTTGTGCTCTTTCTTTCTCTGGTTTGTTTCTCAACCTCTTTGTGGCAGTATTTAAACTTAACTATTGATCCTCCAAAAGCTCTTAGACTTCCATATAGTACTTTAAATGCACCGTGATATTTTTAAATAAAAAATTAATCATTGGGAGCTGGGCATTATTCTCTTTGCTGTGGGCCGAGCTTCAGTGTCATAACAGGAATTCACTGATGAAATAGATACAAAAAGAGCCTCCCTAAAGATTTAAGAGGGTTATTTATTCTGTGGTAATTGTTTTTTTCCTGGGTAACTTCATCTTCATTTGTGTACCTGCTACAAATTCTTAATTATGTTTAATTATTCCAGGTTTTATAATTTACATTGTCTTTTATTTCCTCTTATCGTCCAAAGTATTTTATTAGATGGCATGTGTGTGGTCTATTTTTTAAGCATATAGACATAATTCTTAGGGATGAAATTCTCTTGATAGCTACCTAGAACACCAAAGAATTTCACTGCCTATATATGTCTGGCATAGTTTGAAGGAAAGAAAATTAATTTATTGTATTTCCAACAGTCCTGAATTCTTACTGATTGATTGAAAGAGTGAATATACAAGTAAGATTTTTTTTTCTTTTTATTTCAGGAATTACAACATCTAGTTAGATCACAACACATCAGAGCAGAGAAAGGTAAACACGGATCTACATGAATATTTGAAATCATATAGGGCCAGAACTCTTTGGGCTAACGTGGTTTCTCTCATCTCCAGCTATGATGGAAGGTTCATGGCTAGAACTGGCCAGGAGGGGCAAGCCTGATACCCAGCCTTTTGCTCATCTCACTATTAATGCCACTGACATCCCATCAGGTAAGTTCCGTTAGCATCCAGCCTGAAAACGATTTCAAAAGTCCTTTATCAGCCCATTTGAATACTCAAAAGTATTATTGTCCTGTTACTAAAATTTTGAGAGCCCTTAACTTCTAGATCAGAAGAAAGATCATTTGGCGTTCAGTTGATAATCTCTATTGTAGAAATAGTTATTCTCAACTCTGCCAGAATGGATGTCCTCGCTTCAATTTTAGATCATCAGAATGGGTGCTTATTTTTAATGACTGCCAGTTGAGGTTGCACAACTGGGAAGGACAGTCTCTTGTTACGTTCATCTGTATTTACCCAAACCAAAGTTGATACATCCCCATTGCCAACCCATGAAGTTCATGGATGTATCTCTTGCAGAGTTCCAGGTAGGGGCTTGACAGTGTAATATTTAAGAGGCAGTAGCCCCCTAGAAAAGGAAACATATTCCTCCTTCTCCAAGGGCTTATCGCTTTCTCTGGGCAAGAATTTAGCTCAATGCACTGGAAAGCTGATTATCTTTTAGAAATGAAGAAACTCAGAGCTCTGTGCCTCTATCTACTTTAATGCCCCTGCTGTTCCATCATGTAATCCCCACTGGCCACTCTACTTGGGATAGATGAACATCAAAAAGGTTACAAAGAGGATTATGATAGGGCGTCAGTTGACATTACCATCATCATCATCATGACCTTTGTCCAACGTACTCTATGTACCAGGCATCTCACTGAATTCATTATCTCCAATCCTTGCTACAAGCACGCAAGGTGAGTGATTGTCATTCATTTCGCAGACAAGGAAACTGAGGTCCGTGTGGTACATCTGCCCAGGTCACGGTGGTGACAAGACTGGAAGTTGAACTCCACTCTAGTTCGTTCCCAAGTCCACGGTTTTTACACTACAGTCTATCATATTAGGACCCTGTGGCCAGTTGGCTTTGTCAGAGAGAAGTAAATTCAGAGCTCTTATGTTCTTATTTTCCTGTAAGAAATAGATGAATGTGGTTTTAATAGCAGGGGCTCTGAAGTCTGACAGCCGGGGTGTGAGGCCCACTGTACCTCATTGGCTGTATGACCTCATGCAAATTATTGGAATAATTTGTGTATCAGCTTCTTCAGGGGATGGTGATCACATCCACCTCGTGGGGTGGCTGTGGAGACTAAATGAGGCAATGTCGGAGCATGCTCTTACAGAAGCTGGCATACAGTAAGCACTCCATGAAAGCAAGTTGTTATTATTATTTGAATTTAATTAAATAATTATCCATATTCCACTTTGTTCTAAAAAATCATTTAAGGCTCATTTTTCTTGGAGTTAAAAAAAATATCCAAGTTTTGGTAATGATTTTGCAGCCACTATCATAGCATGGGCCGCAGAGAGATGTTTCCCGACTGTAGACGTAGAAGCTGAGAAGCCAACTCTTTGGTTTGTAGCACATTTTCCTAAACTATCCGTCCTGTCCCAGGTACCTGCTTCATAAACAAATGTTCTCTCTGTGCATGTGTGTGTGCCTCACACTGACGCTACACGAATTTTCTGAGTGAAAACTATTTTGCATATTAGCAAATGCAATCAAATTAATACTGACATCTCAGCTGTGTGTGCTATGAATGTACTCTGCATTTATCTTTCCGGTTCATTTTAAACGGCATATGATAAATATTGCATTGCTCTGTGTGCCAAAGTCTGTTTGGCAATAGCAAGCGTGTTTTCGTTCTCTTCAGGCACCTAGCATCAAATCATTGCCAAAAAACAAGGCAAAACTCCTAGTTATTTTCCGACGGTTATTGAGTTTGTGACTGAGTGAAATGCAGTAGTGTATGCTTCTGTTTAAGAAAATAGCATTTGCTTCTCTGGCTGAGCCAACAACTCCTTGAGTCCATTTATCTCCTGGTTTGGGCCAGTACTGGTCTTCAGAGAAAGGGGGCTTTAACTTGGCATGCTCATTTTTGGCCTCTGTTTTCTGTTTATTTAAACATAAGAAAAAACCGAGAATCTGCCTTATATTGATTGCTAGCTTATGGGTTTTTTCAAAGCTGCTTGAATAAATGCACTGGGAAGTATTTTGGGAGGCCAGACGACATGGCTTTCTTAAGGGGGCTGCTCAGGCTAAATATTTGGAGAAGCCTCTTGTCCCGCACGTACTGGCACTGACCACGGGGGATGAGGGGCTGGGGTGAAAGGTCGTCAGCATGCCTCATCAGTCATGGAAACCCAGGCTTGTCACGCGAGGTCCCTCAACCTGATCACAGGATAGTTTTCTCTTCCTGTCTCCTGCCCTTCTCTGTTCTTGAGTCCTCCTTTGCCTTCATGCTGACGGCTGTCCTCCCTTTCTTCTCTGCATGCTGTGTGCATTCCATTCTTTGCACCAACAGTTTTCCTTGCTGACCGCAAGCCCATCCACATCTGATTGGATTCTCCCTGTCCGCTGGTGCCCTCGTCCCCTCGGTGGGCCGAGTGCTTCTGATCACCGTTAATTTCTGCAGCTTTCACTTGGCAGTTAGATGCTTTAACTGAACTTCAACCAAGTGTCACGCGATATGCAGCAATGAAACTACTCTATTTTCTATTTTATTTTACTTGCTTATTTCTCATTTTCTCCACTAGTAGTGCTAAATGCCGTGAGGTCATAGTGCTTGATAAAGTTCTTTATTATGGGCAGAGTGTCTCCATAGAAGACCCCACACAGATATTTATTGAATGACTGATCAACTAATGGATTGGTGAATGGATGAGTGGATGAATAAAAAGAGAGGTGGTTAGTGGGGAATATGGACATTCCTTCCAATGGACTGGCTAACAGTGGGAGTGATATGTGGTCAAGGCTCCTGTCTTTTCTCCCCTCTGTTTCATATTCCTTTCTTGTCTTTCCAGGCTATATGTCTGAGCCCTTGGTCTAATACTAGCTAATTCTCCCACTGAGAGAGTAGACTTTACCTTTCTGCTTCTCTCTGTTAAGAGTCATCATAGGAGATAAACTATAAGACAAGTCATTAATTGAGAAAAAGACTGAACACAGAGTAGAGTAAGAAGAGGGAAACATGGGATAATTTCAGATGGGAAACTTCTTGAATTTTGTTTACTTTGTCGATGGTTTAGGTGGCTGTTTACCAGCCTGGAGGAATTATTTTACTACTGTTTGTGAGTCTTGCAGTCTTGTCTTGATTCACTGGCGGCCATGGGATGATACTGACATTTGAAATGATAGTTACATTTGGGGTGATATTTACATTCCGGATGCTATAATCTGGGATGACCTGAGGCGGGACCTCCAATGAAAAAGAAAAAAGTGCTACTGTGGGTCCTAGAGGCCGCAGTGCCTCTAATGGCTTCTCAGGCTCACTCTAGCACCCTCCTGTGGATAAGGTATGGAGTTCAGGAAATATACTATTCTTGGACAGGGATTGGAACCATTGGAGTCAAGCAGAGTCTGGAAATTCTCTTCCTATACTTGTCTCTTGCTTTCCTGTATCAACTGCCTTTGGCTTATTCTCTGTCTTCAGCCTTAAATGATCTTTCTGATTCTGTTGGCTGACTCCTGTACCTTTTTTAAGTTCTCAGACTCAGTTGCAATTCAACAAAGTCATTCTTGATTCTTCTGGGAGGAACCAAACTCTCTTTCTTTTGAATTCCCATGGCAATTATCTGTCTGCACCTTGGCTCTCAGGGCATATGCCTTGCTTCTTATCTGAATACACCACACCTATCGGTCATGTCCTGTAGTCCCCTTCAGGGAAGGAAAACTGGGTTTTTGTCTTTGTACTCTCTCAGATGTCTAGCAGAGAGTGCTAAGCACATCTTAATGTTTCTCTGCCCTTTTAGAAAATAAATTCTGATGAGGTATTCTCTGATTGGAACCATGACTATTATGCTGTTTTTCTCCAACCTCATAGAATCGTGAGGATGTCCTTCTCCTCAGAGGGACAGATTTTAAATCATGTGCCTTTCCTCCCCTCAGGTTCCCACAAAGTGAGCCTGTCCTCCTGGTACCATGACCGAGGTTGGGCCAAGATCTCCAACATGACTTTCAGCAATGGAAAACTAATAGTTAACCAAGATGGCTTTTATTTCCTGTATGCCAACATTTGCTTTCGACATCATGAAACTTCAGGAGACCTCGCCACAGAGTATCTTCAGCTGATGGTGTATGTCACTAAAACCAGCATCAAAATCCCGAGCTCTCATACCCTGATGAAAGGAGGTAGCACCAAATACTGGTCAGGGAATTCTGAATTCCATTTTTATTCCATAAATGTTGGAGGATTTTTTAAGCTACGGTCTGGTGAGGAAATAAGCATCGAGGTATCCAACCCTTCACTACTGGATCCAGATCAAGATGCAACATACTTTGGGGCTTTTAAAGTTCTAGATATAGATTGAGCCCCATTTTTTGGAGCGTTATTATGTATTTCCTAGGAGGTATGGAAAATTTTTTGTAAACAAGCCAAGAAGGATGTATATAGATGTGAGACTACTAAGGGGTATGACCCATAATGGTACAAGAAGACTCTTTCCATGCTTTTGACTATAGAGAGCACATGTATTTACAGCCAATGGGAGATGTTGGCTTAGGTTGTTACAGTCCGAGGGCTTTCTGACATAAAGGTTTTTAAATTTTGTAACGAATTCCTAGAATTAGGCCATAGGAGCAATTATGGTTGCCTTCATGCGGACTACGGGAGGGGTTAATTCTCTGGATCTGGCCTGTGGTTATGCGCCACGGTGCCACTCAAGTGGAGAGGGTGTCCTCTCATTGCAAATGGATGATCACCAGAAGGGTTAAGTTCTTTTGAATTGTTACATCATGCTGGAACCTGCAGATAAATACTTTTTCTAATGAGGAGAGAAAATATATGTATTTTTATATGATATCTAAAGTTATATTTCAGATGTAATGTTTTCTGTGCAAAGTATTGTAAATTATATTTGTGCCATAGTATTTGATTCAAAATATTTAAAAAATGTCTTGCTGTTGACATATTTAATGTTTTAAATGTACAGACATATTTAACTGGTGCACTTTGTAAATCCCCTGGGGAGAACTTGTAGCTAAGGGGGAAAAAAAATGTGGGTTTTTTTGCTACTATCAACTGTATCATATTTCTTTATTCTTTTTAACTTAGTAGATTTTTCAGGCTTGTCAAGTCTGCGCAAAAAAATTAAAATGGATGCCTTGAATAATAAGCAGGATGTTGGCCACCAGGTGCCTTTCAAATTTAGAAGCTAATTGACTTTAGAAAGCTGACATTGCCAAAAAGTATACATAATGGGCTACTGGAATCTGTCAGGAGTATTTATATAATTATTGAACAGGTGTTTTTTTCTACAAGTGCTGCAAATTGTAAATTTTGTGGGGTTTTTTTAATGGAAAAGTTATCAGTGGCTTATCAGCAAAAAATCCCTTTTTAATATAGGAGATGATATTTTATATTGTACAGTAAAAACATTGCCTTTGAATGTTCATTTTTTTGGTACAAAAATAAATTTATAAGAGGACCTGCCTTGTGATACTGTGCCTCTCTTCCGTCTGTCTTGCTCTGTGATTCCATTCTCTCCAATATGGTATTGTGGCTTCCATCTTTCCAAAGGTTACCAGGAGAAATGCAGATTTAATTAAAAATTAAGAATGGATTTAATTGAATTAGTGAACCTCAGAATTTGAAAAATAATTTATAAGGGATTTGTATGCAAGAACGTAGCCAGATCGAAAATAGAGGCTTCGTCGCTCAAAAAAGAACAGTTTGTGTCATGCTATGTCATGAGAAGAAAATGATATTGTGCACAAGTTCCTAATGCCCTGCAGGACAACCATTTGACCTGGAGGGGCCCCTGAACATTTTATGGCTTACCATGGTGAGGGAACATTAGCGATGGACTAGATCCTCGACCTCATGGAAATTTATGTGGGGAGCTGTCCCAACTCTGCTCCCCAACAGTAAGAGCTGTCCCAACTCTTACTCACTTGAAAGAGATGTAAGAAAACAAGCAACTTAGGAAGGCACAGGAAACCATAATATAAGGCACTTGACATTCGCGGATAAATGTTTCTTGATGGTTGTGAAGAATGGAAAGAGGAAAGAAATAGCAGATGCTAAAGAAGAAATTGTACATTGAAAACAGCAAAGCTATGATTGTAGCACTCAATCATTGTCCAAAATACACCTATTGTTTTAAACCTATCAGTAAATCTGAAGTAGATTGGCACAAAATATGATTTCAGTGATGCATATCCCAATCGCTGAGCCTTGCTTTAAGGAAAAATGATGTGCAATCGGAATTTCTCCACTCTCCACGGACACAAAATGTTGTTATATAAAGAACCTAATTAGCTGCCCTGGCTCCTATGATGTGATTCTGTCATTTGCACAGGTGAATAACGTTCATTTGTTCCACATTATTTACGGAGCACTAACTATGTGCTAGGCACTGTCTCAGGCACTGAGGATTCTACAGCATTCTTCCCGCCCTTGAGAAGTTTCCCTTCTAGTGGGGAGGAGCCTCATAAGAGTGTGGGAGGTGAGCTCCAGGGCATGGACCTGTAGAGCACGCTGTGGTATCAGAGAAATGGCCATTGAACCCAATCCTGGGAATCACAGAAGTTACAGAAATTAAATTGGGCTGGATAGTATGTGGGCTGAAAGCTTCCGAAAGTGAATATAGAGTAGGATATCGATTACTATTTTTAATTTAGAGGCAACTGACGTGCAATCTCTCAAAGATGAGCTAAAACCCAAAGTCTAGGGTTGGAAAGAACCCAGGATCTTGTGCGACAATACATGGTGGCACCAGCCAGACTGGGGAACTAACATGGCGGATGGTCTGCAATACTAAGGGAGATCCTTTATAGAAAACCTCGAAAATTCAGCCTGACTGTAACGTTGAACTTGCATATGTTAACAACCTGGTAGGGATTGTTAGAGCTCTGCTGGAATGAACCTATGACTTAATGAAATGTTGGTGTAGACTGGCCTGTGCCTTGAAGGAGTAAGCTGTAACAAGGGGCTGTGCCAAGGGTGTGGAGGTTTAGAAAAGGCTTTTCCTCTTTTCTAGTGATGCTCCAGGCTTTCTGGGATCTGAAATGCAGGACTCAATACCCGACTTCCCCTCACACACTATTTTACTGCTGTACTGTCTTCTCACTCACCCCTTTTCCCATTTCCATCCTTCTTACGTGTTTTCATCTTTTTCTTTTCGCCTCGAATCCCCGGCCCTTGCCTCAGAGAAACGTTCCGTTTCTCTAGTGGCCCTCGAGGAATAAGGAGGCTGCCGCATCTGACCGAGATGGAAGCAGAGCCTGTCAACACTCAGCAGCGACGAAGTGAATGCGCTGAGGACTGACAAAATCATGTCAGGAAACCAACACACACACCGGACGCTCTGGCAAGTGGGATTGTGTGCTCGTTGCAAATATCCCACGTCAATCATCTTTCTAACACATGCCAAATCTGAAGGAAGGAACGCATGCGAATTTTAAAGGCGTCTGTCTTTGTGAGTCGGCTTCTCCAAACCCACTAGACTCACGCACACTTGCGTCTTTCCAAAACACTACGTGTGAGGCAGCTCCTGTTCCGTGAAGCTGCTTTCCTCACTCCCCTCCTGCTTCCTTTTGGCTCCTGCATTTCCATTAGGCCCGCCTAGAAAAGTATCCAGGGAAGACGGCCCATTCCCAGTGACTCAGGGGGAAACCTGAGCACCTCAAGCCTCATCCTGTCTCTCTGGGTCTACTTGTTGATTTGGGGTTACACTGGTACACTGTGGGGGGACACAGCTCTGACTCAACCTGCCGTTCCACATTTAGTCTGTAGGGTCATTCGGGGCAGGCCAAGCATGTGTCAGCCTCACTTTTGGCTTCGCTAATCGATGCTCTGGCTTCTCTGCTATGAAACTGAAATACGTTTCCCAGAAGCTGCATTTATAAATGCTAATTAGTTATTGATTCACATTATGATGATTTAGGCTTGTGTCACTTCTTACAATAAAAAATTTGTACACAGCGAGTGCTAGACTTTAGCTATGAAACAGAAATCTATCCTTCTGATTAGTAACACTTTGATGATACTTCTACTCTCGTAATTTAAAAATTCTATTTCCTAATCATTTACCCGCCTCCCCTCCCCTCTCCTTTGCTGACAGATTTTCTTTACAGGAGCCGGTCAGCGTCTTGACCAGTACTCCAGCTATTAGTAGCGACAGCCTCTGTGATCTTATCAGATGAGGACCAGTTATAATGTTATTCATATTGCAACTGGCTTTCAGTGTTTATAGAGAAATCCTGTAGAATCTTCTGTTTTGAAAACTGAAAGAGGTGTCCTTTCCTTTGGGCAAAGGAATGAGCTAGTAGTTACTTACTCCATTAGTAGCATCCAGAACTAAGAACCTGAGGATCAGGGCCGGCTTCAGAGACAGTAATTTCCCCTGAAAAAATTGATAATTTAAACTCTCTTATGAGGGCCTTAAAATCATGGTATGTCACTCTCTTGGGCAAAGCCTACTTTTTTCCTCTTTCTGTGGATTCTGCAGAAGCTTCGTTTTCTCAAAGGCCTGAACTTAATAATCTTATGTTGGTGGAATGGAAGTTCCTCATGAAATTTACACATCTTTTGGAAGAAAGATTGCAAATTGGGTGTCGGCCGGACCCAGGATTGGAATCTACCCTCTGCTGCTTGATAACCTCGGGCAGGTGGCCACCATTTGGATTTCAGTTTTTTACCTTGTGAAGTAGGAGTCAACCTACCTGTGTTGACAAGTTGTGAGGATTGGCACATGCGAGGGGCTCAACAAATAGGGGCCACCAGTATTGTCTTCCCACCCCATTTGCTACACACTTAGTCCCCAGAGTCAAGCACATTGAAAAAAAATTTTTTTAACGTTAACTTATTTTTGAGAGAGAGAGAGACAGAGACAGAGCATGAGTTGGGGAGGGGCAGAGAGAGAGAGGGAGACACAGAATCTGAAGCAAGTTCCAGGTTCTGAGCTGTCAGCACATAGCCCCACGTGGGGCCTGAACCCACGAACCGGGAGATCATGACCTTAGTTGAAGTCAGACACTTAACCAACTGAGCCACCGTGGCACCCCCCAAGCACATATGTTATCTTTTTTGTCTAGCTGCCATGCATGGCCATATGGAGGAAAGCCCTGGACAATGCATTATAAGCGACACTAGGATAGATATGAAATTAATTTTCTAGGGCTGCAATAGGTAACAACTGCACAACCCGAGTGGCTTAAAACAACAGAAATTTGTTCTCTCACAGTTCTGGAGGCTGGATATCTGCAATCAAGGTGTTGGTAAGGCCATGCTCACTTGGAAGGTTTTAGGGAAGAATCCTTCCTTAGGATTCTGATGGGTTCGGCAGTCCCGTTCCTTGACTTGTAGATG